GTTGTGTTTTAAGAGGACGGAATGGCGCCAAAGCACAGAACACATGGTGAAGCATGAGAAGCTGTTGTGGACGTGCAGGCGTCTGGCTTGCTTTGACATATCGCGTCCTTATAAAACCCTAGTGTCCTATAGTAACTTAGGGTTACTTTACAGAAGAGGAAATCGGGATTCAGAGAGGCGAAGTAACTCAGCCAGGAAGTGGTGGAGCAGGGATTTGAAGCCAGGTCTGTTGAATTCTGCTCCCCACCCCCACAACACACACACACACACACCGTGCACACTCTTGCCCCAGCCCTGCCTGGCTTTCCCCATGATTGCGTGAGCCAGCACTTTCATGCCTCTGTCTTTGGACCCCTTGTTTACATTCCACTGTCGCCTGGCCAACACCTGCCTATCCAGATTGACTGCGCTCAGGGCCACCATATATGGATGTGTTACTCGACACACAGACAACCAACACACCCTGGGTCCTCCCCACTGTAGGAGCCATCTGAACCCAAGCTGCAGGCTCCTGAAGACAAGACTCCTGTCTGCCTTAGACACCATCACCATCCCTATCGTAAGCAGTCCTTCACCAATCATGTGTTGGGTGAACTGTGAATGAGTTGACCACCCTTGCTCGCTGCCATCTTCCTGTACACAGTGGTTCTCAGCCGGGTGATCTTATCCCCAAGGGAACAGTGGGTACCAAACAACATGATTGCGGTGACTCAGATGCTGCTTGTTCTCAGCTCCTAGACACTGCTACCCACCCTACGGTGTATGAAACACGGCAGCACACACATACTCTGTCTCAGAACTACCACATACCCGAGTATCTCCAGGGTGGGCTCAGCACCTAGGCAGGGGCCCAAAACCAGTGTGTCTTTTTAAACCCAGCAGCCAAGATACAGAATGAATGAATGAATGAGAAATACAGCAGTCACAAGAGATTCAGACTAAAATTCAGTGAACAACTTGGGGTGGTGAAAACCCTGTAGTCAGGAGTCTGTACTCGAGCTTGGAGCCACTTCTCGGCTGGATAGAAATGGTTCCATGTTGGAACATCATGGTGATTGGAAAAGCCCAGATGAAACGAATGGTTTTGACAGACTCAGCCTTGGAGAACTGTGTTCTCTGTGGCAATGGTATGCATCTCTGTTATGCTTTTTAAGGTGGTTTGGGTTTTTAAGGTGGTTCAGGTTTTTAAGGTGGTTCGGATTTTTAAGGTGGTTCGGGTTTTTAAGGGGGTTCGGGTTTTTAAGGTGGTTCGGGTTTTTACGGTGGTTCGGGAAATACCCTGTGATTGCTCATGACTCAGTCCCCAAGTTATGACTCGGGAGAGAACATGGGGACATGCTTTCTTATCAAAGGTGTGGCCATAAATGCATAAAAATAAATAAATAAATAAAAAGATAGGATGGAATGCATTTTCTGCAATAGTTATTTTTGTGGATGGGGGGTTGGGTTTTTTGGGGAGTCCTGGTGTGGCACTGTAGGATAAGCACTGAATAGCAACGTTGGTTTAAACCACAAGGTCAGAAATTCAAATCCACCTGCCACTTCTTAGAAACCCTGCACAGGGTCACTATGAGTCAGAAGTAACTCAACGACACTTAACAACAACATAGTAGTTTTAGGTTTATGGAAAAATTGCACTGAGAGAGCAGAGTTTCCGTAGTCTCTCTCTCCCTGCAGTTTCCCCCATTATTAAACATCTTGCATTGTTGTTGTTAGTAGGAGCCGATGAGTCAGTTCCAACTCATGTTGTTATGTGCCGTGGCGTCGATTCCGACCCATAGCGACCCTGTACAGGGTTTCCGAGGCTGTAAATCTTTACGGGAGCAGAAAGCCTCATCTTTCTTCCGTGGAACAGCTGGTAGTTTTGAACTGCTGACCCTGAGGTTCGCAGCCCGATTCGTCACCACTGCGCTACCAGAGTTGGCCATAAATTCTTAAAGGTCACACAGAGCTCTTACAATGGGCTGAGCCAATTGTCACATCAAGGTCTTTCAGCATTGAATACAAGTAGCATTATTTTAGGAAAAAAAAAAGTCAAAGTCATTTGCAAAAACTATTCAAGACTAGACTCTTGGATGATTAGTGAAGTAGAAACAGACAAGGGAGAAACGTGTATGTTACGAGACTAAGACAAATGAATCTTTATGTAATTTTATGTTGCTGTTAAGTGTCATCAAGTCGGTTCCAACTCATAGTGACCCTGGATAGGGTTTTCAAGGAGTGACTGGTGAGTTTGAACCTCCAACCTTATGGTTATCGTACAAGTACCACACCAGGACCCCCTACAATTGTATAAACTTCAAAGTATTCAGTATTCTGAGAGTCAGTGTCTTATTTGATGCTCATAAAGATACTGTGAAGTAGGTACTTGTCCCCATTTTATAGAGGAGGATGCCGAGGGTCAGAGAAGGTAGGCCTAAGTACCCCTAGAAGGCCAGATCCCAGGGGACAATATTCTGGAAGGAAGAATGAGGAAAGCTGGGTACCATCAGTGGTGGAGATGGAGTTGGCATTTCAATGGGCTACTTTTCATCAAAAACAGCCTAGCAACCCAGCTGTTGTTAAGTGCTGTCAAGTCAGTTTCACCTCATAGCAACCCTGTATGGGAGTACTAAAGCTAGAAACCTTTCAGTAGAAAGTCTTACCTTTCTCCCTCAGAATGACTGGTGGGCTCGAACCTCTGACCTTGTGGCGTGCAGTCCAGTGCTTATCATGCAGAGCCATACCGGCAGAGCTAGGAAATAAACTCTATGGTTTCCAAGACCAGCGGTTCAGTAGGTGAGGCTGGAGGACCAGCTCAGTGAGCTCGCTGTGATGCTGGGTGTGTAGGACGGAGGAGATGAAGGCAGCATTGTCAGTACAGACATAAGATCTCCAACTGGCTCCTAACAGACTCCATCTCTCTGTTGGTGAATTGCCCAAAACTAGGGTGCTGTGGTCAGCATTTCTTAAGGGAAGAGCAGGCACAAAGCCGGGCCTGTTCACTTGGGCCTTTGTCATCTTTCTGAACAAATTGGGACTTTCTCAGGGAATCGGCAGAGTTTGTGTTTATGCCCAAAGCGACAGAATATACCAAGGCTCTTGAGCCTGTGTTCATCTGGATACTTTGAGTTCAGAATTCTCAATTTGTCCCATAAATTTGCCGGTATTGTAGAAAAGCGGGCATGACTCAGATGGGCTTTATTTACCACAAAAAGTTGCTGCAGTCTGGTGTAAACTGATGCCAGCCTTGCTGGGAAGGTACGTTTGCTTCCACTGGATGAGACCCTGCTGGGTCTCAGCTAGCGTGGTGACTGATAGGAAGGTGTTCACTTTGGGTTGTTGTTGAGTACTGTGGTGTCGGTTCCGACTCATAGCGGCCCTGCACAGGGTTTCCGAAGCTGCACATCTTTACGGGAGCAGAAAGCCTCACCTTTTCCCACAGGACAGCTAGTAGTTTCGAACAGCCGACCTTGAGATTACCAGCCTGATTCGTAACCCTTCTACTTTGGGTAGTCCCTGCTTATCAGGGTAATGACACGATGTAAGTAAATTGGGACGTTATAAAATCAAAATCAGAGTGGCATCCTCATGGGAAGCGGGGACATTTCTGGTCATTTCCTTTCTTCTCTTGGCTTCCTTTGCGCTTTTAGCTGCTTACTTGATGAAGGGGGTGGGGGTGGAAGAGTTGCCATAAAGTCAGTTTCCACTCATGTCCACCCCACGTGTGTCTGCGTAGATCCGAGCTCCATGGGTTTTCAGTGGCTGATTTTCCAAGTAGATTACCATACCTTTTGCCTGAGGCATGTTGGGGTGAACTCGTTTGTACCTCCAACCTTTTGGTTAACAGCCAGGCGCTCTAATAGTTGGCACACCCTGGGCTGTTGGGTGGAAACCAAGCAGCAAATGAACTAAGTAAGACAGGGAACGAAGGCAGAGGAAAGACCAGAGGGGCCAAACTCAGCAGCCCTTACTCCTCCACTCACTGCTGAAAAGGAATACAGGCTCTGAGTTCAGTCAGGCAAAGGGCTACCCTACCCAGTTCCCGGGGACCGGGCCCCATTGGCCCAGTGAGTTGGAGGTGGCAGACAGGACCTGTTTCCAGGGCAGCCATCAGGATTTCTCAGGTGCTGAATGTCGCTCACACACCTTGACCAAGAGAACGGGGCTACCATTGGATATGGCGAGGCTTTAGGTCACTTCAGGACAAAAGCAGAACACACCCCTGATTGGGCTGGACGGACAGACGTCCACATTGAAATGCAGCAAACAGCACTGCCTGTTAAAATCCACGGGCAGTGGGAGGTCGTTGGTAATGTTTGTGTGCGCTCCTTATAGATGAAACTCAGCCAGGTCTTTTGAGGTGCTTCCACCCATGGGAGAAACCCAGACTTGAGACAGGCACACAGGGGTCGGCAGATGCTCTTTAGATGAAGCTGCTGCCTCCAGCTGTGGCTCCCAGCATCCTGAGAGGAGCAGAGGCAGTTTGTGCTGTGGGTTTGGAAGGTTGCTGAGATGGTGTTGGTTCAAGGGTAGAATTCTTCCCTCCCGTGTGGGAGACGTGGGTTCAGTTCCCATATGTCAGTGGAGGCTGGCTTGTTGCTGAACAGGTTTCAGCTTCCAGACCAAGACAGACCAGGAAGAAAGACCTGGTGAGCTACTTCTGAAAGTCAGTCCGTGAGAACCCCGTGGATCACAACTGCCCACAACACAGCCGAACCCAGGGACGGTGCAGGACTAGCTAGGCAGCCATTCTGTGGAGCAGGGGGTCGTAGTGAGTTGGGGGCCAATGAACAACAATGGCATCAGTTTTGCCACCTGAGTCCTGTCTGGCTCCAGGTGGACTCTGGGGGACTGTCAGTCTTCCCACCCACTCAGCCAGGACCACCCTGTTGCTTTGGGTGATCAGTACATCCCAGGGACTCAAGCGTCAGAGACTCGCTGCTCTGGGCATCTCTAACAGAATTGGCACCCAGGCCTAACCAAATCCCTGTCTCTGTCTCTCTTCCTGTTTTATGCAGGGGCGGATCTGTAGAAAAGCCGGCAAATCAAAAAAGTCCTTCAGCCGTAAGGAAGCGGAGGCGACTTTTAAGAGCTTGGTGAAAACGCATGAGAAGTATGGCTGGGTTACCCCGCCGGTCTCAGATGGCTGATGTCCACTGCCTCTCCACACACACCACCCCCAACATCTCCTTGTCCATGCTGCACACCACCCACCTACCCCCCCGTTTTCTACGCCCGCCAGGACTGTGTCAGGAACGCCAAGGCGACATTTAAGTTATTTATGAACAGATGTGTTGACAGAGAGTGAGAGGGTGTGAGCGCCGCCGGGCTTCTGTTCCGTTGAGAAGTGAAGGAGCATCATCCTGGAGCCAGCTTAGAACAAATGCTGAGATGGTGACATCTCCCAGCCCCGCCCTTCCGCCCTCCTCCCGCCACGCATCCTTCGCTTCTTCTTCCTAGGGCAGCGGATCCAGAAGCAGCCAGTGGGCACCCGCTGCCCGGTAGGACGCTGGCACCGCCAGTATGGGCCCCCTGCGCTGTGGCTGTCTCGTTTCCCTTCCAGCGTAGCCTGAAGCTGTGGCCCAGGACCTCCTGTGACCACATTTACACCTCATCTGTGCTCTGACCTTTGGCTCATGAAAACAAGATGTACCGTCACCAGGTTCTTCGTGATAGACACACAGAAATCCAACACACAAAAGCAGCTGTCCACTCATTCGCTTGGCTCTGTCTGCTGACATCACGGTGTGCTGTCAGCTAGGTGAATGCAGAGACCCCCCGAGAGCTGAGGCAGGGTGGCTGTGGGCACCTCCACGGTCTGATGGAAACAGGTTGTGACTAGCAGGACTCCTTTGGCAGTGCTCCTGTCTGCTCGCCGAGACTCAGATGCCCACCCGAAGCAAAGACAGTTCCCCGTCCACTGCCGTCATCGGACCCCCGTGACCATCTGTGCTCGTGACTGTGAATGCCAGAACTCCCCACGGAGGCCAGGTGACACCTGACAATTTGCATGACCGGATCTTTCTTTCCACCCTGTAGTCACTTGTGCACCCCCCGGGGCTGGGGTGTGTGAGCACCCTCACTGTGATATGATAGGAAACCCCCTCCCCCATTATGTAATTGTCACCATTTCATTCTGCTCTTCGGTTATGTGACTGAGAACTTTCTGCGAGGCTCTCTGAGATGAATATGCGGAAAGAGGTAAAAAAAAAAAAAAAAATGTTCATTCCAAGTGGAAACAATCGTATTGGACACATTTTAAATAAAATCATGTACGTCTGATGCACCGCCTCGGTAATTCAGTCATTGCGGGCTAGCTTGCCTCTTAAAATAGTTCATTTGTTGGCAATATTAAATATGACACAGGGCTGCCTGATTGGCACAAACAGAAAAGGTTGGCCACTGGAGTCCTCTCAAATGTGCCTCGGAAGGAATGCCAGGTGATCTGCTTCTGAAAAATTAGTTATTGGAAACCTCGTGGAGGACGGTCCTAATCTGATGCACAGAAGGGTGACCGCAGCTACCCTCCACCCACTGAACTCCTCCATAGAGTTTCAGACACTATAAATCTTTACAACAGCAGACTGCTTCATCTTTCTCCCGCAGAGCAGCTGGTGGGTTCCAGCCTTCCAACTGGCTTCTAACTGCAAGGTCGGCAGTTCAAACCCACCAACTGCCCCTTGGAAATGCAATACAGAGTTGCAATGAGTCAGAACTGACTCAGTAGCACTTAACAACAACAAGGAATGGCTTGCACCGACCTTGCAGTTAAGTCCCACACCAGTCTTTGCAAAATCAGCCAAACTTGTTGTTATCCAGTTGGCCCTGGGTCACGTTCGACCTGTGTGTATCAGAGTAGAACTGGACCCCACAGGGTTTCCAGTGGCTGATTTTCCAGAAGGAGTTTGCCAGCCCTTTCTTCTGACCAGCTGAGTGATCACGTGATTTTTATGGAGTCCTGGTGTGGTGCTGGAGGGTAAACAAGGATAGCAAGGCCTGTGTGCACTGCAAGGTCACAGTTCAAACTCACCAGCTGCTCTTTGGAAACTTGATGCAGCATTGCTGTAAGTTGGAACTGACTCAATGGCACTTAACAACAACAACATGCACACACACACACACTCATATTAGCCAAAGGGTCCCTACAGCGTTGTCTGTTACCTGTTCAGAACGCTTGAAAGGCCTCCTGCTTCAGGGCAGGCTGCACCTATGGGACTCTAAGGCTCGGGGCCCTGTCCACATTGACTCAGAGTCTCCCTCCCACCCCTTCACCAGACCTCCTGTCTGGCATTTCCACGTTGTTGTTGTTAAGTGCCACCGAGTCGGTTCCGACCCAGAGCGACCCTGTATAGAGTTTTCAAGGAGTGGCTGGTGATCTTGAACCTCTGACCTTGTTGTTCAAACCGACCTTGCAGTCCAGTGCATGAACCCACAGCACCACACCAGGACTCCAGCATTTCCATTGTTGTTGTTGTTGTGAAGTGCCGTCGAGTCGGTTCCGACCCATAGCGACCCTGTACAGGGTTTCCAAGGGTGTAAATCTTTACGGGAGTAGAAAGCCTCATCTTTCTCCGCGGAGCAGCTGGTAGTTTCGAACCGCTGACCTTAAGGTTCGCAGCCCAATTCGTTCCATTAGGCTTATGAAAATTGGACATTATAGAAGGAGTATACTCTTTCATTAAAAGAAATGTCCTTTTCCACATACACGAGTGTGGTCTGTCCATCTGCAAAGCCGTGGGAAGAAGTTGAACACTTGGTTAGGACTTGAACTCTTCTTAGAAGGGGACAGGCTCTTTGGCAAGCATGGGGGTGACCATCCTCATCAGCATATGTCGTGGGTCCTGACCACCCAAGTCTTGTTAGCAAGCATCACTCCCTACCCAGGGTGCCGGCATGAGGAGCCTGCCTGTGAACCCAAGCCCCCTGGGACCCACAGCAAATGTGCCCACACCGCCACTCACTGGAAGAGAACAGAATCAAGCCAGCCCTAAATCCACTGTGGTCAATTCGACCCTATAGGACATTGAGGCCATTAACCTTTACAGACTGCTCCTTTCTCCCTCGGAGCACTGGTGGGTGCAGGGAATTCAGTGAAGGTAGACGAAGGACTTGCATGTAAAGACCCTGAGAGTCCATGTGTCCTCACTGGCCCTAGAGAAGATAAAGAGCAGCAACTGCTCAACCCCCGTGCCCTCCCAAGGGAGCTGGCTATGGCTGCGCCTTGGCTCAATCCTACTGCAGCAAAGTTGCCCCGGGATTTCCTTTGCTCAAGGACGGAGAACATGCTTCCTGCCTTCAAGTGCAGACCCAACCACCAGGGCTCTGGGAGGTGATACTTCCCTAAATGTCACACGCTCTGCAGTGGAGCTAACAAGGCCCAGAGAGGGTGAGTGTTCTGTCCCAAGTCCTCTGCTGCTTTCTGATGCTCCACACTGCTTCCCAGGAGACCATGAGCCATTCATGTGGGCCATACCCAAGTAAGCTGTCCACCTGACCACTGAGAACCTCACTCACCACAGGTCTTCCAAGCTGACCGTGAGTCACCCAAGGTGGCCCTTGAGATATCAAAGGTGACTTGGTGCAAAGACTGTGCATGACACTTCTCACTGCTTTGGGGAATTGGGTTAGGGGCTCAGAGCAGCCTGTGACCACAATACATTATTTCATTCCATCCCAAGACATTAAAATAACACACGACTCTATTCCTCAGCTGTATTCTGTGTTCTACCTTATCTTTCAAATTCCTCCAACCTCCCAGTTCACGCGGTATTGAATATCGGTCAACTCCTCAGCCCATCTGACCCTCAGAACATGGCCAATGAACTGGAAAGGGCAAGCAAACACCACTGACATTCAGGAAGGCAGAAAGTGATATCAGCTCAGGGCCAGACGCAATAGCCAATGGGTATTTAGCACACCGGAGCAAAGTGTGCTGGACAAACAGAAATAGCCATGGCAGATCTGAGGAGAGTGCAGATCCAAAGCGATGCCAGGTTTTCTCTCAAGGGTTCCACAGGGGACCAGGCACCATGGGCATCCTGGTGGGTCAGAAAGCAGTACATCGTGAGAGAGGAAATGTACCCGTGCCCACTGGCAGAGTTACTGTTTTTCCACAAGAGGTAAAATGAGAACTGTCCTCATTTGTAAACAGGCCACTGTATCTCCAGATCTTGGGCAATCGCTGGTGATGAGGAACGAGCTAAAACAGAAACAGCTGTAAGCTGATACACGGCTTGGTCCCTGCATGCTGGCTTTCCAGTGTGGTTTTCTTCTACTGCACGGACAGCATCAAGACAAGGAGCTGCAGACCCGGATATGATAGGTAGGCTTATGGAAAGCTTCCCGCTAAGACTTTCCAACGTTAGCCTATTCTGAGATCCCAGGCACGAGAGAAGAAAAATACCTTTTCCATAGAAAGAAAAAAAAAAAAAAAACACACAAGGTTCCAGTTTCAAGAAGGTGGACTCAGGAATCCAAATCTCTAGAAGCTTTGCCCTTGTGGGGAAAACAGTGGTTCTGGAACGCGAGGTCATGAAACCGATAAACATCTTTACACCAATGCTTGTCATGGGCTGTGTACCCTGTGGCTCATTCCATGTGCGTTACCTTCGGTGGTCTGCCCTATGCCCCCTGACCTTCTGTGCCTGAGCTGATTTGTGGTAGGACAACTGAAAACTTTGCTGTGGAGATTCTCCATAAAAACCAATGATAGGTCACCAAGCCAAATCCAATTCAGTACCGGTGTGATTTAGGACATTTCTCCTCCCATCATCTTTGGCATTACACAGATTGTAAACTTGTTCCCAGAGACTCTCATCATTTCTCAAACACAGAGTTGAAATCGTATACTCAGCACAAAACTGTAGCCGTTCAAACGAATGCTAAATTACAGCTATTCCTACAGAAAACAGAGAGGAGTAACTCTGGAAAATAACCATTTTCACAAACCCTAAGCTAGATTTGTCACATAACCTGAGTCCTGGTGGGGCTCTATAGGTTAATGTGCTAGACTGCAAACTCAGTTAGAATCGCAAGTCAGTGGTTCAAGCTCACTAGCCACTCCTCAGAAACCCTATACAGGGTCCCTGTGAGCCAGTACCCACTCAACGGCACTTAACAACAACAGGCTCGATTTGGAATCCTGGTGTGGCACTGTA